AAATATTCGATGGATTTGGGTACCAAATTCTAAGGCATCTCTACTGAGTACTATGTGTGGTACTATAACAGTTTTCTTTTCAGAAGGTTATCAGTTGGCCAGATATAGATTACCCCAGGCATAACAGAAGGCACCTGCTTGACACAAACGATATCTGCCAGATTTCAGTTTGCAAAGCCAAATGATGAGAGGGCATGAGACAAATCCGAAGAGACAGTCACCAGAGATCTTTAACAAGGGAAAAATAAGATACGTTTCCCTAGCCTGTTTTTCAAAAATACCTGAACAGTCTTGGCTGACATTTTCCAAAAGCAGACATCAAAGGCAAACATTGCACATAGAATATTTTAGTGCAAAAACTTAAAAGGCCAGCAAAGTTATAAAGCAGCTGACTCTCTCCTACAGTGGAAGGCACAAGGCAATCTTAAAAATAGGCAGTGCTACCAGCTTACCTGGGTGACAGTGAACTGCAAACAAGACAGGAGTTTGTGAAATACGAACTTGCAACCCAAGATATTCCTGTAGGGCAAGGGCATTTTCATCTCCCAGAACAACAGCAAATGGAACTCCTGTTACGACTAACACAACATGCTGAGCCCAAGAAACATGCCACGGGGTAGGGATACGCTAACATTGTTTGCACAGTAATTTGGCTCACTCTCTTATGTGTTCTGTAACACAGATGGGTCTTGAGCCTTGCCTACAGCGGGAATTTAGCCACTGGTATAAACTGTGTCTGGAAGATTGTTCTGGCATGCAGATTTACCCTTTGGTGAAAACTGCCAGGTAGGCAAGGATCTTGGTATTGTGGTTCAAAGTTTCCATATTAAAACCTGTACATCCTACTTCCAGACTTAGTTCTTAGCTGAGCCAAAATTAGAAGCCAGAAGTTCGGGCCAAACTGAGCTATTTGCATAACCTGCAGAGGTATTCACACAGAAGAGGTTTCTCTGGTAGGATGCTAACTGACAGCACTTTCAGTTGAACTTCATTTTGAGGGCTCAAAGAACAGCTATACAAGTGAGGAAAGCTGAAAAATATGGGGTTTTTTAATAAGAGACTCCAGGCACTTCTTTATGCAGGCTATTAAAGAGAAGATGAAGGAGTGACCTGGTCAGAGTCTCAGAGTACCAATGCAACAAGCAAACACAATCTCTTCAGGGTAGCAAAGGTGTGGCTAGTAATTGTACCAGTGGCTAATAATTGCAGCTGAACAAAATATCAGTGTAGAAATGTAGTGACGTTTCTTAAACAATGAAAGTACTTAACCTTTGGGAGAAGAGGGCTGCCATGGATCCCTTTCTCACTGACACCTGTCAAGCTTAGATATCTTCCTGAAAGATACGCTGGAATTCAAAATTAATTCAGGGTGCAATAAAGTAGAATCCCAAACCCTCAACTGTGAGGATTTTGGTTACAACTTCCCACCATTGCTAACCGCAGCTACTGGTAAAGGTTAAAAGTGTAGATGTATTTTGGCTCTACAGGTGCTTTAATATTTGTTTTGCCTAACCTTGTGCTGAGCAGGGCCACACAAATTAGCTCAAACAGTACAGTCATCTACTGGTACCAGATCTGTACTGCGCCTCTCAAATTGTTGCAACTCATGGAACTTGCTGGCATAGATTGAGTCCACTAGGCTTAACACTCCTCTTATGAGGAAAACCAGCCAAATTTCCTATTTCCTTGCTTAAACATCAACAGTCAGTTGGGAAGAGTGATGGACAGGGCCCCTCCGTTGGAGCTAATAGCATTCACCTTCTCCCATTTCACCCAGTAGTTTCAAAATGGCTTATTTTACAGCAGATAGGGACGCTTCATCACCATGGGACATACAAGGTTTTAAAAATTAGGAGTTACTTATTGCTTAAGCTGACACAATAAATCAGCTGCCAAATTGAGAATGATAAGCAAGTATGATGGATAACTTGCATGCTGCAGGGAAGCAGGACACCCTACATTCTGAGCTGCAGAGATGTAGCCACCAGATGCTGTGTTACAGTGACGAGACCTGCAGGGAATGGGCGACCACAGGTTTGCATCTGCAAATAAAGGGCACCCTTCTAATGACCAAAGAACTACTAGAGATGGTGCTGTGCAGGATCGCACATTCGTTTCAAGAAAGCAGGAGGAGGAGGAGCTGGATAAACCTCTCAATTCGGTCTCTTTGAGTGAGCTCTGTTCCTCAGAAGGATTCACTGGGGGCCTATTATGAACCAAGCAGGAGGGTGATGAGGTGTTTGATGTGGTAAACAAAGACTCCCAACCAGAGATGCACATGTCTGCTTAGGAAAGCAACATGTTTTCAAAACAATTCTCCCCTGACTGAATTAGGTAGGAAGTATAAGGATTCCATGTCTCTTCCATTTCTGAAAGCTGAATTACTAACAGCCTCAATATTTGCATTGAATCAAAGTCTATTAAGATCATTTCAGTCCACCAAGAACTGAAAGCACACACCTCTAAATATTTAAGGAAGATACTCACTCCAGGTTCATTTCCAGCAGCCGCTTCCAACGCTGGCTCTCCAAATGGCCAGCTCCTCTAGCAGAACTGTTTCTTGCACATCCATCTGCTCGCTTTGTTCAGATAAACACGCGCCTCTCCTGCTAGCCATGTGGTACTGACTTCTCTCTGCTGCGTGCACAGTTAGTGGGGATGCCCTGCAGAATCTTTACCGCGAGTGTGAGTCACAGAGAGAACCCAGCTGGATATCTGGAATCCCATTTGGGTTTATGAATTAGCAGGATGTGGGAGACTTTTTCTTTTCTCTTAAACCAATCCATGAAGCAAGTCCAATATGGAATTACTGAGTTAATACACATGAATAGACTGCCTGTCATTTTTCACAGAGTCATTTCTATGACTCTAACTGGAAATGCCAAGGAGTAAATGAGCAGAGAGACTGAAATCCACCCCCACCCCCAGTTGCTCTGAAAGGCAGTTTCACAGAATGTGAAAGTCTGGCTCAGACTGGCAGTGCGCAGAAAGCTTCTGCCACTGCTGTACATGCTACTGGTCAGCAGGATAAACAAAGCAATCCCATTTCCAGGGCTGTGAAGCCAGCAGTAAATTTACACAGCCATCGTTTTAATAGCTTTGAAAAATAAAGGAAAACAAGGCACAGTCGTTTCAAGCTCCATTAGAAACAGAGTGAGGAAAATCAATGTTTGACAAATAGGAAGGGACAAATTCTGGATAAGGAAATGCTGCTGAGCTTTTAGAAACATATGTGTTTTTTAACTGGCAATCAAATAGCGAGCAACCAGATGCCTTTGAAATACCTATGCACTTTAATGGCAGGAGCTGTTAAAATATATTGGGTGTCCATCATTAAAGCAAATGGGACAGAGCTCTCATTAGTAATTACTGCGTCACTCAACAAAACGTAGCAGCAGCGGGGCTAGTTCTGCAGTCCTCACTCAACACATCTGTACCATCAATTCTGTACTGGTAAAAGTCTGTTTATGATTGTTCCCAGTTAGCTATTTAAGCTTTAAACATGTACTTGGGTTAGGAACGTATTCTGTCCATGTTAACTGATCATAGACTCAGAGTAATTTAGGTTGGAAGGAATCTCTGGAGGTCATCTAGCCAACCTCCTGCTCGTGAAATGTAAAGTGAGATACAGAGAGGGTGCAGGGCTTACTTTAGGGGTGCAGGGGAAGGGGATCAAGAACTGTATCATATTCCTGACCCAGCATCATACCCTCTCAGCTGCAGGCTGCAGTTACCGTGCAAAAAATGAAGTCTGGCTGTTCATTAGTGACACCTGAACTGTGACAACTTGGATTTCCAGGAGCAGTGAGTCTCCTCCTTGCCAGAGACACACTGAGTAACACCACCTGCCATGGGAAATTTCTCTCCATGTCCTGGCACTTGACACTGCCAGCCTCTGAACTGATCCTTGCAGTGGCATCCTGCCTTCCTTCCCCCTTCCCCAAATCATGTCATTCCCAAAGATGCCTTGGGTTGCAGCACCGGGTGGGCTTGTGGACAGCACAACTTTCTTAATTTCCCCAAATACTGTGACCGCACCATATCCTATTCTTGGCAGTGTTCCCCAAACCATTCTTAATGCCCAATACGTCTAATGAAGTTTAGCCCACCAGAGTAAGCACTACAGTAAGCCACAAACAGGGCTGTAAAGCATGCCTCAAGGATCTCCCCCTTTCCTCTTTATTTAACTCCTAGTTGCGGGAAACTCACTATGGGGACTTTCTTCAGCTCCTTGACATTTGTGCAACAATTGTCCTTCAGCACACAGAGTCCTCAGCATGCCGTTTCTTCACTGTGTTTACCTTTTCCTTTAGGAAGTCAGCAGAACTGACCCCTCGGGAATAACTTGTGTTGCAATATTTTGCAAAAAGCACACAGCCTAGCACATTTGTTCCCTGTGCTACAACTCCAGGTGTATCTGGTTTGCTACCAGCACATTCCAACAGAGCAGAGCCCCCTGTAGTTTCTTAGAGCAAAACTCCATACAGGACCTCTTGGATAAAAGGCAATTATATATTATTTGTAAGTCTAACAGCCTTGGATTAAGCCAAATACAAAATTTGATCCAATTTAGTCCCTTTTTTCCTTGTCAGATAAGTGACTGCCTTTTTGTACTTTCCTGAGCTCAAGCCTTCAGTCTCAGAAGCAATTTTACTACAAACGAAGCCAGTTGCTGCCACGAGACCGTGCGGCGTTCCCGCTCTGCGGAGGGATGTTTACGTTCTCTCTCCCTCCCGCCCCCCCCCCGGCCCCGTGGAGCAAACACAATCCCTTCACTTTGCAATGCCAAAAATAGAAGCGTTGATATTTAAATTGCAAACAATTGAGTTTAGCAAACAATCTGTGTGAGTGCACCCTTTCTGAATCACAGGTCTGAGTCATTTCCCTCACCTAAGCTGCTCTCTTCCCCCGTGCAGATTGCAGGAGCAGGGAGAAATATGGCACTAATGTTCTCCTGTCTGGCTGTCTGTCTCCCCCCGCCCCGTCCCCATCCCCTGCAGCCTGCCTGCTCCAGGCCGAGCTGGTGAATTACGAACGAGTCAAGGAGTACTGCCTCAAAGTGCTTCAGAAAGAAGGTGAGAACTTCAAGGCGCTCTATCGATCGGGAGTGGCGTTTTACCACCTGGGTGACTTCAACAAGGCCCTCTACTACCTGAAAGAGGCAAGATCCCGCCAGCCAACAGGTATGGGGGGCGGTGGGGAGCGGGAAATATGGCTTTGCATTGAGTGTTTTTGCATTTCTTTTCACGAGACTTAGTCTGTCCCTGACTTGATTGCGTTGATTTCCACAGGGATGAGCATGACTCATGGTATCCTTAGCTGTACTGCCCTCCAAGCGCTCTCTTGTAGTGCAGTAAGGTTGCAGTGCCCGAAGATTAACTGCTGCTGAGGCTGCAGCACAACCTGGAAGATAAGTGTTGCTGCAACGCCGTCTGTGTGGAGGGGATCCTGCCTCTCTTTCTCTCCCTAGTTTATTTTTGAAGAAGGAAGCAGGATGGAGAAGAGTATATCCCAACCATTACATTTTCTGACTCTGAGAACAAGGTTTTTTTCCCCTTAGCAAAGTCAGGACACTATTTGTAATCCCCAATAGCCATGCCTTCCACCATTTTAGTAAAGGGTTAGAATTTTAATTTGATCAAAGAGAAAGACATTTACTCACAAAACATTCATCAAGGATGCTTCAGCTTTTGCCACGAAATCAGCCAAGCGTCTGTCATCCATGTGTCAAAACTCAACAAATTGTTTTGGGACAGCAAAGAAATTATATATTCAAACAACTTAGCCTTGCCAGAGCAGCCACCTTTATGCTAACCTACCCAACCTCAGAAGGTGGGTAGAAGGCCACAATGCAGAGATGGTGCTTTTATTTTTCAAAGAACTGCCTAATAGAGAGATAAACCCACACTATTGTTTAAACCATTTCCGTTAAAAGAATTTTCTAATACTCAAAGAAAAATTAGAGGATCACGAGAGAGCAGAACGGAAGCCATGTGCAAAGAAAACCCCACAGAGCAGCTCTTCCACCTGAACCTGAGAGGGACATGTGAGAGCTGGGCATGAAACAGGAGCGAGCCTGGGCCCTGGCAGAGCACGGTGGAGCTGATGTTCATTGAACTAGAGGAGACAAGGGAGGCTGAGCTGGCTGCGCTTGGTGTCCTACAGGCGTTGGCCCTGCAGGGCTCCCGTGGTGGCTGTGCCCTGGAGGGGCACCGGGGAGGGTGCTCTTAGGGGTGTGCTCGGATCTCCTTCCTCTTCCACCTCCCATAAGGGTGCCTGGACCCATCTGCCGCACTTGGCCATGGGCTCTGGGCAGTCTGACAGCACAGCTGTGCACCCCACACTCCCTGAGCAAATGTGCTTAAAAGCTCAGTTTAGCCTATTTTAGTTTACAGCGTGCCCTTCTGCTTTCAGCCCTTGCCAGAACCAGGAAATGGAGGACCCTGTGCAAGAGAAAAAAGACGACGGTGGAAAATAAGAAGTTATCTTAACCTTGAGGTTCTGACTAGGCTCAGATGTGAAAAAGTCCTTTTAGCTGAACCACTTTACTTCCATTTTTTAAATATGTATTTCTGTGCTCCCCACCCCCCCATGATACTATTTATTTGGCATCCCTCATTGCTTCTTGAAATAAATACTAATTTATTCAACAGCAACAGCTTCAAATACCACGGCTTGCTGCAAAAACATACCGGGAAGTGTCCCCAAAGGCCCTTAATGTATACAAAAAACAGTTCTGGCCTTCAATTCTGCACCAGAGACTCTTTGCTGTTATTGTTAGGCCATTCAAGGCCATTGTTCCACTGTTTTATTTATGATTATGGAAAACTTGAAGGGTATTTGGGGGAAAGAAGTGAATACATACAGTAAGAAAGGACGTGGCTGTTAAAACACAGCAGTAGGCATCAGGTAACGCTATCAAGAATCATTATGTAACCTAGAATAAGTGAGCGTCTCCACCTGCAAAATGCAATTGTTTTCCTTTATCCGAGGTTTCACTAGGCTCACTGGTAAAAACAGTTATTATTACAGTCATGTTCTGTGTGGTTTTGTTTTTTTTTTTTTCTAGTAAGGAACGTTTTTGGCACAAATCATTGGCAATTACTCTTTTTGGTGGGGGAGATTTTAAATGGTAAAGAGGAATTAGCTGGCAAAGGGCTTTACTGTTCTAAAGGGCTGTCAGCACAGGAAATCCCTTATGGCTATTTACTGTCTGTCAAGGGTGAGGGTTAGGTCTGGCCTGATTTCTTATGTTACCTCCAAACAAAAATCACAAAAGCAGATGGAAATAACACAAGATAATTGTATAACCCTCCTTACTGGGGGAGAGGGAAGCCGCTGTTACGTTGTGCAAGGCATACATGCAACCCTCCATGAACTCCGTGTCCAGAGGCTGGTGCAGCATGGGCAGCCAAACATACACCTTACCTTCAAACCTTGTTCAGCTCTTTCCCACTGGTGGGGCCACATCGTCAAGGTGGGTACTGACGGGGATTGAGACCAGACCATCAGCTCACCTGGTAATATCAAACACCCATGGTTAGTCTCTGCTGGCCCTGCACTGAAAGCTCATGTTCGGACATCACGCAGGCTGCACCCACAAAACAGATTTCCCATGCCGCATGGAAAGCGCTCACAGCTGAGCTCAGGAGTTGCCTTCCTGAACACCTGCGACTCAGAAGTCCTGGGAACAAAACCCAGGTGATGGTGCCTGCACAGCAGATAAGCAACTGGGCGCTGAAACTACAAGGGGAAGCAGAAATGACCTTTAAAAGGGCAGGAAGCCACTCTGCACAAGGACACAGGCATGGTCCTAAGAGCCAGGAGGTGTTCCCATTGCACCATCTCTTTGTATGGGTCTGGCCAGTCACCTGAGTTGCCTCACCTGTTATTCGCACATCAGCAGAAGGGGATCACTTCTTCCTCACTGAGAGATGAGAGTCTTCTCTTGATTAACATTTACATTTAGCCTGGAAATACTTCTGCAGGCAGCACTAGCATGGTGCAATACTATTTGATGGAAAAGACTTGACAAAACCAGGATTCCACTTCTGTAAACAGAGTGCTGCTCTCATTATTTCTCTTTGGTAAAATAGTGGCCCTCAAAAAGGAAGCAAAACATGCCAAAACCTGCCCAGGAGATTTATAACTAACTCACAATAGGAGGATCTCTCACCCTCTATCAGGCTATGCCTTATTTTGCCCCAGCCTCCCAGGCATGCAGAAATCTCCCAGGTGAGTGAAGCTGTGCTACCAGCAGCTAGCTACCTTACCCACAAGCCTAAGGGAGTTGGCAGCATCTCATTGCCTGATTATGTACTGAACCCACCTCCGCCCCCTCAGCCAGGCGTCGAATCCCTGCAGGCCCAGGCAGGTGTGATTTCCTAACATGCCTACGCAGTTATCACTTATCACCTGCACCGGGCAGGTGTTCAAAGTGTGAACCTCAGCAGCAGGGACGTTTAGCCAGGCTGCAGCCCATCAAAGCTAAGAAGGGCACAGAGCAGAGAGATTGCAGAGAGATTGCAGTGAGGTGCAGGCAGTGCAGCGGAATTCTGGCCAGGCTATGAGCCCTGTCTTTACACTGCCAGGCATTAGCCACCTGCCTGCCACGTGCACTGATTTCATTTTAGGCTTAAAATTCAGGGCTACCCCCACAACTGAATCTCTTTACTCTGGGAGGCTGCGTAACTAAAAGCAATTCTGTTTTTAAAAAAGCTGCTTTTAAAATTTGCCAGTCTGGTATGAAATGCTAATGCATGAACAGCCCAGGATGCTGGTGCACCTTGTCTAACACAAGCAACATCAGAACTTCTTGGCTCATTAAGAATGCCCCAAATGGGGCAAGTAACTTAATCACTGAATCCCACCCTCCGAACTGACTAGGATGACGCAGTTGAACCTGCAGAAGACTCAGCAGGGAGACCCACCTCACCAGAGACAGCTTGAGAAGTCGCTACAGCATTGCTACAGCCCACTGCTACCCCATGGCCTGTTTGTGGAGAGCTCTGTGTGAAGGGAAGCTGATCCGTCTCCCACTGTCTCAGCTCTGGCTGAGCACACAACAGAGATGTCCCCTTCTCTTGTTTAATGGAAACTTTGCACCCACAGCTGCTTTGGTGGGTTGCAATACCCACACTTGCTGGACATGTTGCCAGTAATTTGCCCATCTCTTTGAAAGCTCAAGCACTCCTCTTTTCCCTAGCTGGTGTGGGGCACATGGCTGTTTGGATGAGGAGGAGACAAGATTGCCCTCTGACTGTGGTTTGCAGTGTACTTCAGACTGATTTCTGAGGATCTAATAACTTAAATGGACTAAGCTGGCACTGGTTGGCTGGCTGAGTAAGGCTGTGGGCAAAGAACCATTTTTCAATCAATACATAAGTGAAAGTGGTTATATGTTTTGCTTGCTTGCTTCTGATACCACATGGCTTTTGTCACTACATGGGTGCCATGTGCATGGGAAGTCACCCTCGTCATAGTAAATCAACACGATTTGAGAAAGGACTGACCATGACTGCAGAATCATGAGGTCTGTCTGGGGATACATACTTGTTTAGCTCAACCTGTGCTTCAGGGTGAACAAGTTCCCTCACTGCTGGGGCCAGGACGTAAAACAAAACTCACATGTTGTGTGTGCTGTGTTGATGCACTGAAATACTTGAAGGAAAAAGAGGGCTCAGCTTACTGCATGTGACAAAAATGCAGATAGAGTGTCATGGTGGAAGGATTTCCAAATATGAAATTTAAGGAAAGCAAGGGTACAAAGAGAATGTGAAGGATGTTCTCCCCAATTCAACTCATCAGGGAAAAACGTGAGAAGAGTGAAATAGGCTGTAAAAGGGGTAGGAGAGCGAAAAGGTAGAGCATAACTGTATGAAAGGTGTCTTTAGGGGCTTGCACGCAGGCACTGAGGGAAGGCAAGCCAGTGGAGGTGCCATTCCACAAGAACAGGCAGGGATGACCTGGACGGTTTCAACTGTGTGAATTCAACTGTGCTGACCAAGCATAATCAGAGAGAAGGTTAAAAACTAGCTGAGGCAAGATCGTGAGCAACAGGGATGGTAAGCACAGATCAGACCAGGTTCTCCAAAACCAAAGCAGCAGGGTTTGGTCCAGAGCTCCTTCCAACTGATGCTGTTCCTGCTGGCAGCGCTGGAGCCATGTTGCTCCCCAGGTGATGCACCAAGGATGAAGGTACAGTGTGTCTGTCTTTTACAGGGAGCTGTAACCACCGTACGTGTATGTGTGTGCTCTTTC